CATGAAAGGAAGTAGGTACGGTGCAGGCTTGCTTTTGTTTGCAGTCATTTGTATACTAATATTACTTTACCACTAGACAGTAAATTCCCTGAGGACAGGTCTGCCTCTTACACATCTCTGTTTTCATATCCTTCAGTATCACGCAGGACCCTAGAGACGATGGTATCCAATACTATTGAGTTGACTTAAACTGAACCCTAACTAACACAGACTTGAAGGTGGCCACCCCCCTTTATCATTGGATTTTGATGGCATTCAATAAAACAAAGGAGGGTCTTTATAATGCCAATGTGGACAAATAGCTCTGATTAAAGCAGCTATGAAGGGGTAGATTATTTGATTATCCCTGTGTAGCATGTGTGACTGAAAAAATATTAAGATATTTTAGAATTAAACTGTCAAAATATCATTCTGATTATATTTTAAATTAATCTGTTGGCTCATTGTGAATAACATAGGGCAAATACAAAAATAATGTGGTGTATAAAAATGTAAGAAAGTCAAATTAACCTCTTACACAGGATTAATTCTTTGGTTGAAATCAGGCCTTTTCCTCTGGAGCGATTTTGTATTGAGTGGATCCTTACTGTTTACAGGCTTATTCCTCTTGAGGAGTTAAATAAAGACCTGTGGCTTAGCAAGCTTACAAAATAGTGCTACCTAATTGCTTTTGTTTTTAGGGAGAAACCTTGGTTTGAATGTTGTTGTTTTTTAGTTTTTCCAGTGAAGAAGCGCTTTCATGATTGATGGTCTTCTTGTTAAAATTGATTTCTGCTGATATTCCAATATGTGTGTGTGGTTTGTGTGTGTGTGTAATATATTAATGTAATTCACATAGCACATTATTCACCCATTTAAAGTGTACAATATAACTGGTTTTTAGTCCAATAGATATTTATATTCATTTTCAATCAGAGGAAGCAATAATGACAGTTTGACTAACTTCTCACTTCTTTTGGCCTCAATTTTTCCTACAGTTTATAATTTCATATTCCCAAGATTTGTCAGAATGCTAAGAATCAATCAACTGGCATCTGCCATTGAGTAGTTAAGGTCTCAGAACTGTAGAGAACCAATGGAATATAAACTAATAACAGTCTTTGCTATCTGTATTCTCAGGCAATGAATGAAATACAGAAAGTATAGACGATAACCCAGCATTGTAGAAGTTAAATAAATGTTGGCTTCCTTATTTTTCTTTTTTCTGTCCATTTCTATAAGGTAGAATGAAAAGAGGTTATGAATAAGGTTCTTGCGATATGAATGGGGCAAACTGAAGCCCTTCCGGAGAGTTATGGAGGGACTCCAGCAAAGCTACTAAAGTAACTCAAGTATCTTCTACCCAGGACTGAATGGGACAATCACTCACTCCCCCATCCACCTGCTTCCTCAGCTACTGCAATGCTCTCTTCGGGGGTAGCATGCATTTTTCAAAGGGGGAAACCGGAAAAGGGAATATACAGGGAGGTCCTTCTCTTCATGTCCGAGAAACTTGTGGATGGATCATAGTCTGAATTCATCAATTTACTTCGGAACATTATTTTTTTACTCTTCCAAGTAAAGAAATCTGCAAAGAATTTACATCAAGTTTTATACAGAAAAAAAAAAGTCAATTAAAAAAGAAAAGCCACCAGGCCAAGGTGGTTCAGTGGTTGAGCATCAACCCATGAACCAAGAGGTCACCGGTCCAATTCCTGGTCAGGGCACATGCCGGGGTTGCAGGCTCTATCCCCCGTAGGTGGTGTCCAGGAGGCAGCAGATCGATGTCTCTCTCTCATGGGTTTCTATATCTCTATTCCTCTTCTCCTCCCCCCCTCCCCCCATATATTTAAAAAAGAAAAGCCAAGCCCTGGCTGGTGTGGCTCAGTTGGTTGGGCATCATCCTGTGCACCAAAAGGTTTCTGGTTTGATTCCAGGTCAGGACACATGCTCAGGTTGTGGGCTCAATCCCCAGTGGGGGGTGTGCAGGCGGAAGCCTGATCAATGTGCCACTCTTGCATCGATGTTTCTCTCTGTCTCCCTCTCCCTTCTTCTCTCTCTAAAAAAAATAAAAAAGAAAACAAAAAAAAGCCAATAAAAGCACTGCTGGAATTTGGTTTTTATTTGAAAATTCTTATTCACAATTTTTCTGAAATATTGACAATAAATAACATAAAATGAAAATGCTCTTTCTCCTAGAAAGTGACTTTTTTAATGTAAAATGAATTTATCATCTGAAAACAGTCTGCTCTGTAGAAGAAGAAGAAAAATATTCCTTGCAGTGCAGCAACCTGTTTTTCTCTTCGGGGAGGGAACTTGTTCCTCCTCCCCGCCTACAGTCAAAGAACTTCTGTTGTCCAATTCTATTCCCACAGGCAGAGCCTCCGGGTGCTCGAGCGATGACAAGAGCGAGATCAACAACCGTCTGGCCAGACGAGGTGCAGGGAATGCTCTGCTTGTTGAATTGAGCCTGCTTTTCAAATGGGTAGGGTGTTTTTTTTCTTCTTCCCCTGAGAGTGAATGGGGTCCAGAGTGCTTTGCCTTTACTGAGAAATCCACAAATACTTCTCAGAATTCGTTAGCCCTGATGGTGCCTGCAGAACAGAATTAGTCCCCTGGAAACTGGATGGTCTTACCGACCCGGCAATTTACATTATTTCCCCTCACACCACATCTGCCTCCCAGCGACAGCAAACTTTGCTCCCGCCAAGACAGAGACCCCAGGAGCAACGATCTGAGTTGAGCATTTTTGCTTGTGTTTTCCGCCTATGCCTTTCCAGTGTGAGCACTCAAGCAGGACCAAATGCAGAGCTGCATTCAGAGCCACCACAGCGGACAGATTTTTGGTTTTCTGTGCCAAAACACACCAAAGAATTAGGTGCTAGGATGGAAAAATAAGTTTTCTCCATTTCCTGATTGCTTTCACAGGCCTTCTTATTATCTTGAACTTTCCTCTTGTAAAAGACACACGCACATTAGGAGAAATCACTGGGTTCTTTATTTATGCCTTATAATAACCATAAATTCTTGGTTTTCACAGGAAGAGATGACTACATTGAGTGTTTAGAACTCGCCGCTGCAGGACACAGGGGAGAACTGGAAATCATGGGTAGACGAAGCATGGTGCAGATAAAATTAGCTTTCAAGCATATGACTAACAGGAAAGTTATAAGCTACCAGAATCAAGATATCATGGGTTGTCATCAGGGAGTACATCAAGCAATAATTCTTCCTAAATGGACTCAAGCTAGAAAATATGTCTTCTGCGCACCAATGTGGAATGGCAACCCAGCAGGCTTTTATGTTCCTATAATCACTAACCCCACTTGCCAATACTAACATTTGAGTAATTACAAGGAAAGACTGGGGCAAATGCTATCCTTCCGACAGCCTTGGAAGGCACAAATACCTGGATTTGCAAAGGATTGAGAAAACAGGAATGTTGAGAGAGAGAGAGAGAGAGAGAGAGAGAGAGAGAGAGAGAGAAACATTGATTTGTTGTTCCACTTATTTATGCACCATTGGTTGATTCTTGTATGTGCCCTGACTGGGGATTGAACCTGCAACCTTGCATATTGGATGACACACCAACCAACTGAGCTACCCTGCCAGGGCTGAACAGGACATCATAATAATTAATCATGGACAGAGCATAAAACCCTCATTGGCAACATCAGTAATCCATGGCTGACAGACCCATCTGACTTCTGGCTTTCTCTTTCCCCTACTTCTATGCAGATGTCAACATATACAGTCTTCCGGTACTTAAATACCAGTAAATGTTGCTGTAACTCTGCTCCATGGGGCTTGGCAGTGTCGGGAAGCCCAGAGAGGGACAGGGCATGGGGAGGCGGTGTGGCACTCTGAAGGGAAGGAATGCACAGTCTCCAGACATGTGGTTGGGCCACCAGGCAGTCTTGGACTGCTGAGCAGAGGGGGGGAAAGTTAGCAGGAAACAAGGAGGAGATGGTCCTTTCCCATCCCAATGGCCATGTGCCCCACAAAGACAAGGTCTACCTGGAAACAAAAGGCTGCAGCAGCAAACCAAAGAAGGCATGGCTGACAGGAAAGGGTGTGGAGGTCGCGTGCATGGGACAGTCTGCAATATGAGCAAGCCAGAGCCAGGCAGAGCTCGGATTCTAACCCTGCCCCACCGTTCACTGGCTTAATGCTTTTTGCGAGACGCAGAAACTTAGCTTCCGTTCTGGTAACATGTGAAGGACAGCTTCCTAGAAGTGCCATGATCATCAAATGAGCTCATGTATGCAAAGCATTTAGCACAGCAGCTGGTGCTGTGTAGGGACTCGGCCAGTGGGAGCTGCTGGTGAATGGTGTCTAATTCTATTACTCTGAGCAGTGGCTGAACAACAAAGAACCATGGGACTCACATCCCTAGTCAACCCAAACGGGACACGATAAATATGGCAGCACACTTGAAAAGCGAATTCATTTTCTAAAATAAACAAGTAACTTTCATGAATTGGCAGAACTGGAAGAGGCCTTCAGAACTCTGGTCAGACTTCCTCATTCACTGATGGGAAAATTGGAGAAGGAAATGGAAAGGCTATTGCGGTTTGGATATCCATGGGCCAAAAATGTATTTTAATTAAAGGAAGGTTAGTCATCCTTTCTTTTATATGTCAACACAAGGTGAAGGTGGAGTTAGAAAGGAATATTCATAGTGTTATTAGTACACACATTATACATATACATACATATATATACGAACGGGTTCTGGGTATGTCTGCCGTGAAAATACTGGACTCTGTATAAATACATAAGTGCAAATACACATATCGTTTAGAAATAATAGAGCTAATCCAGAAAGACGCCTAGCAGAAAGTTATTCATAGACCTCTGTGAACTTGACTGGCCTCCATCACCCAGAGTTGCCCATTTGTAGAGTAAACGTACCTGGTCGGATTCTTGGAAGCTTCCTGGAGGACCGAGTGAAAGCGCTTCAGGAATAATCTGGGGGTGACACAGGATGTGCTCCCCCAAACTACAGCCAGGTCACTCACCTGTCCAACAGCAAGTTAGGAGCAAACAGGAGCTTCCCTGGGTGCTCCATGGAGCGCCAGACGAGACCAATCATCAGGATCTCTAGCCATGCACATTCCAAAAGGTGGACCTGATCATGGAGGGTCAAATCCACAAAGCCTGAAACAAGACAAGAAAAACCCTGCTGACTTCACATAAAAAGCAGACATTGCTGGTAAGAGGGATCTGAACGAATAGGCTCTGTTTTCTATGTGCCCTTACTATGGGTTAGAAGCAATGCTAAGCACTTCTTGTGCACAATTTCTTTTAATCTCTTATTAATACAACAACTCTAAGAGGTAGGAACCGATGGGGATACCATTTTACAGATAAGGAAACAGATGTTCAGAGAGCTTATATGGTGTTAAGGTCAGAGATGGAATATAATCTCCAGAAGCTATGCCCTTGAGCACAATTGACACTACCTCTGATGAGCTGCAATTAATTATAGACTTTGGATCAGGTGACCAAGTAAATCCAACCACACAAATTAAGATAGGACAGAATCACAGAGGCATTAAATTAGCAAGATGTCCATAAAGTTGGCTGCTTTCCGAATCAGTTTCCTGTTCTTTTCCCCTGAGGCAATCCATAGATTCTGCTTTCTTCTTTGGTCTCTCTGCCCCCAGCCCTTTGCTCTCTCTTGTCCATGAGACTGGCTCCAGCAATCCCATTTTCTGTGACCTTTTCTTCATTTTATCTCCCCAACACTATACTTTTTTTTCTTTTTAAATTTTATTTTATTGTTGAGAGTATTATAGATGTCCTTCATTCTCCCCCTATGTCCCCCACCCATGTCTCACGCACCCCCCAGGTCTTCACCTGTCTATTGTCTGTGTCCATGGCTTATGCATATATGCTTATTTGATGAATCTCTACCCACCCTCCTTCCCATCTCCCCTCTGAGATCTGTCAGTCTGTTTTATGCTTCCATCCTTGTCTATGATCCTATCTTGTTTGTCAATTCATTTTGTTCTTTAGATTCCACATATAAGTGAGATGTTTGTATTTCTCTGACTGGCTTATTTTGCTTAGCATAATATTCTCCAGGTCCATCCATGCTGTCTCAAAGGGTAAGAGAGCCTTCTTTTTTACAGTTAGATAATGTTCCATTATGTAAATGTACCACAGCTTTTTTTATCCACTCATCTACTGATGGGTACTTGGGCTGGTTAATCTTAGCTATTATAAATTGCACTGCTATGAGCATAGAGGTGCATGTATTCTTTCTGATTGGTGTTTCAGGATTCTTAGGATATATTTCTAGAAGTGAGACCACTGGGTCAAATGGCAGTTCCATATTTAATTTTTTAAGGAAACGCCATACTGTTTTCCATAGTGGCTGCACCAGTCTGCATTCCCACCAGCAGTGTGCTAGGCTCCCTTTCCTCCACATTCTTACCAGCGTTTTTCATTTGTTGATTTGTTCATACTACCCAAAGTAATTTGTAGATTCAATGCAAGTCCTATTAAAATTCCAGCAGCATATTTCACAGAACTAGAAAAATATTCCAAAATTGTATATGGCACCGAAAAAGACCCCAAAGAGCCACAACAATCTTGAGAAAGAGGAACAAAGTTGGAGGGATCATAGTGATATCAAACTATACTCCAAAGCCGTTGCATTCAAAACAGCCTGGTATTGGCACAAGAACAGGCATGAAGTTCAATGGAACAGAACAGAGGCCCCAGAAACAACCTGCACCGTTATGACCAATTAATATTTGACAAAGGAGGCAAGAGCATGCAATGGAGTAAAGACAGTCTCTTTCATAAATGGTGTAAGGAAAATTGGACAGATACATGCAAAAAAAATGAAACTAGACCACCAGCTTACACCATACACAAGAATAAAATCAAAATAGATAGAAGATTTAAATATAAGTCATGAAACCATAAAAATCCTATAAGAAAACATAGGCAGTAAAATCCCAGACATCTCACATAGCAGAATTTTCACTGATACAAAGGGAAAAATAAACAAATGGAACTACATCAAACTAAAAAGCTTCTGCACAGCAAAAGTAACCATCTTCAAAATGCAAAGAGAACCCAAGGTATGGGAGAACATATTTGCTAATGATACATCTGATAAAGGTTAATTTCCAAAATATATAAAGAACTCATACAACTCAATAAGAGAAAGACAAACAATCCAATTAAAAAAAATGGGCAAAAGACCTAAATAGACATTTCTCCAAAGAGGACATACAGATGGACAATAGACATGAAAAAATGCTCAAGGTCACTAATCATCACAGAGATGCAAATTAAAACCACAATGAGGTATCACCTAATAATACACTTTTATTAGCTATCTATACTTGTTTCATTAGAAAGCCAAAATATAAGTTTGTTTTCCCTAAGTAAGCAAGTATTGATAGTTTGCCTACTGGATGTTTCTTTTCAGGGGGAAGAGGGTCTTGGAGCTATCACAGGATCAGTATTAAGCAATTAGCTCATCATTTATTATATACTTAATCACCATGTTTTATGTAATCCTTACTGCTAACTAGGTGATGTTCCACATAGACAAACATATTTAAGCTAGAGAAAGACCGCAAAGTCCATGACCCCTCCAGCTCTATGCCATAATCAAACCTCATCAATTCTATGTTTAAAGTAATGCAAAAGTTCTTCCTCTCCTTCCTATATCCCCACTGTTACCATGTTAATCAATTCACAAGTCTCTCACTTTTTTATCCCACTTCTTTAATTCAGCAAAATTCTCTTGAGACTTATCCATGTTGTTGCATATATTAATAGTTGATTCTTTCAATTGCTGAGTGGCATTCCATTGTATGGACATAGCCAATAAATAAATATAATTGCTTATCTTTTCATTGGACATTTAGGTTGTTTCCAGTTTGGGGTTATCTATATATATAAAAGGCTAATATGCAAAGTGCGGGAGTTCAACCAGGAGACTGGGAGTCAATCGCTCGCTATGATGTGCGCTGACCACCAGGGGGCGGTGCAGAATGAAGGAAGGCCCTGGCAGCAGCTGACAGCTAGGGAAGGGAGGCCCCGGCTGGCAGCCAAAAGGCCCTATGAGCCCTGATTGTCGGCCAGGCCTAGGGACGCTACCTGTGCACAGATTTCGTGTACTGGGCCTCTAGTTACAAATAAAACTGCTAGGGGCAAACCTTGTACAACTTTTTGTATGGACATACTGTCATGACTAGAGTAAATACAGGCTGGGGCAAAAGTAGGTTTACAGTTATGAGTATGTGAAACAGAGTTTATTCTTCTATTAGTATTTACTAATTATTGTATTAATTTCCATAGGAACAACTGTAAACCTACTTTTGCCTCACCTTAAATTTAAGCGTATGATGGCTTAAGCATACAGTAGGTGTTTTTTAATGTTTTAAGAAACTGCCAAACTGTTTTCAAAAGTGACTGTTTCATTTGCATTCCCACCAGCTGTCCTCACCAATACTTGGTATGGTCAGTTTCTTTAATTATAGACGTTCTGGTACATGCCCAGCAGTATCACACTGACACTGTGGTCTAATTTGCATTTCCCTAATGACTAATGATGTTGAGCATCTTTTCATGTGCTTCCAACAGATTATTCTACACGACATTCACATTAATTAGACATGTTCCTGCAAATCCTGCTAGACTGTGTACTCCTGGGAAGCATAAAATTCATGATTCTACCAAATCCTGCTTTTTTAAAGTCCAAATTATTGCAACTTCTGCTCCATCACTCAGCCATGCTAAGGCCCAAAACAGAGCCTTTCCCATTGGGAAGACTGGGTTTTGCTTACATAAAGCAGGACTTGTAACTGAAGAGAATGTGGGCAGCTTTGTTTACAAGAAAAACTCAAGAATTAAACAACAGCAATTGCCAGTCATAAAAACAGTCACTGGGATGTAAATGGCAGCCCAGGGAATCCTATCTAATAAAAGAGTAATATGTAAATTAACCATCACTCCACGACAAAGATGGCGGCGCCCATGGTGGCTGGGGTGGGACTCTGGCAGTGTTGCCCTGGCAACACGAGCCCAGCATCCGTGACCTGGCTGCACAAAGGGAGGGGAGGGTCCTCGGGCCAGAGGCTGGGGCGAGGGATGCTGGCGTCGTTGCAGGCTGGGCTGAGGGACAGCCCCCACCCCCTGCCCCTCCCTGCACGAATTTTGTGCACCGGGCCTCTAGTAAAGTCAATAATACTGTAATAACTATGTATGGTGTCAGATGGGTACTGGATTTACCCGGGTGATCACTTTTAAGTTATAGAAATGTTGAATCAGTATGTTGTACACTTGAAACTAATCTAACAGTGTACGTCGACTGCAATTGAAACATTTTTTACAAACTAAAGGATTAAAAAACAGTGATTGGGTTTCAGGCCTCCCAGGAAGAAAGGGAGCATGTATCCCAACAGCCTGCAGCTCTTTGCCTCCGGAGTATGTTGGGTGGAAGTGGACCAGCCTTGCTCTGGGAGAACCTGCTGGAGGCAGCAGGAGATGCCCCCGCTTCTCAGTACCCAACGTTTACTCCAGGAGCAGTACTGATCAGGAAAGCTCTCAGGGAAGTTTCAGTTCTCTAAGAGTTCACCCCAGTCTTCTGGATGAGGCCTCGTAACAACAATGTCAAGTCACCCTGTAAATTAAACTCACTTTCAGAAACATTAACATTCAAAAGTGAGATCTTAGATTAACTGGGAACTTGTATGCATATATGCATAGCCCATGGACACAGACAATAGTGCGGTGAAGGCCTGGGAGGGGTGGGTGCAGGGTGGAGGGGATCAATGGAGAGAAAGGGGGACATCTGTAATACTTTCAATAATAAAGATAAATTTAAAATAATTTAAAAAACAACAGCAACAAAAAAAGTAAGTTATTTTCTTTCATGACATTCACTATTTTATGTGGGGGAAAAATGTAATCATGTGATAATGTCACTCCTGATCAAACCCACACCGTGTCATTCAATACCCTCCCTAAACCTCAAGTAATCACATAGGATGAGATTTGGGGGTGTCTCTCGAGAGAACTGCAGCTGGCCATGGAGCCAATCGATTTTGGAAAACCCAAGAAGCACTTTCTGGTGGCAACCTTAATATTAAAGTGAATCATTCTTTTTAATTCCAACTTCAAAACTTCAG